GGAACAATCATGTTTGAGATCATGAAGATAAAAATTTCAAACGGTGGGACAAATGCGTTTTTAAATTAAAATGATAATATATACCAATCCCCTCATTTACCTAGCTAGCCGATGGACCCTCCGATGGTCCAGACAAGCACCTTTTGGGTGGGTGACTTCTCTATCTAGAGTGACAGTTTATCTCTACAAATGGATTCATAATTATTATGTTTATAATCCATGAAGTAATAATGGTGCTTAAATGATATGTTATACATTTTAACCCCTAAAATCACACGTAGAAGAGAAGTTTAACAAAATTTGGCTTCTGCAAGCAACTTTCGAGAATTTCAGAGCCTAACTATTGAGAATGACAGTTCATTTGTTGACAGATGATTTTGTTACTATCAGAATGGACATTACATTTCACATTTTTATTGATTTTCCAAGACATGAAGGACCAATTTATGACAAACATGATACGTGTTATACTTGTAGCTTCCAATAGCACCACTTTTCATATACTCAGCCATAAATTTTATATATAAATGCAAAGACATTTTCAAGAATGAAAATAGAATTATCCAACACTTCAAATAACCCGGAATAATTATATAAAAACACATTTAACCGAGCTTATTTGTGCATGTTGACCAGAATATACCCAATTCAATCTTAACTCATTTTTCAAACTCAAAAATTAAACTCAAACTCAATTTGCCCAATAATGACCAATAACTATTATTTACATGAAGGAAAAATGAAAAATATAATTGTAAGAAATAAATTCATAGATAACTTACATAAATCAAAATTTAAACATTTTCATAGCACTATAAAAATAGACAACAACAAAAAAAGAGACATATTGTACTAATTCGGGACCAAAATTGTGAATAAAAAAAAAACCCTAAATTTAAAAAATCAGAAAAGAAGAGAGCAACAAATGCAAAAAGAAATAAAAAAATAAAACCTCAAGAGATTAATGGTGATTTTGTCAATGGTGGACCGATTAACGATCATTTGACTTCAAGCTTGGACAAAAATGGAGAATTTTACCGTCGTCAACGACCTTGAGTAAGAGAAAATTGAGCCGTTTAAATTTAAGGAGTGAGAGAGAATGAGAGGATTCTTATACATACATACATACATACAAGTATATGTATATATATGTGTGTGTGAGTGTGTGTGTGAGAGAGAGAGAGAGAGAGAGAGAGCATTTGATGTGATGTTTTAAAGCCTCTTGTACTATTTTTTCATCTAGTCAAATCAATTTTTAATGAAGGACATGTAGGATATTTGAATTATTTAGATGGGCAAAAATGTCTAAAATTTTCCAAAATTGACAATCTTGCAAAGACCTAAAAAATGTGACATTTTTATAAATGCAAAGCCAAAAATTGATTATTTTGGTAATTTCCACATAAATATATTTGCCTCCACCATGATCCAAAAAGATTTGCAGCTGTTAATGGAACGTCTATAATGGGACACTTCATCTAAATTAGTTATTTTTTTTCTACATATTATATTTATTGTATAAATATCTATAATCTTATACATAGTTTTTAAGTTTTATAAGCATTTTCATAAATTCTTGGAAAACCACAGCATGAGGCCATATTCGTGCCAATAGTGATCCCAGCAAGATTTTTCCCATCCTTGACGTTGAAAGGTGGGGCTGGAGGTGCTAATGATGGAGACTTTTCATCCATGCAGTGGAAGACGAAGCGTGTTGACGATTATTCTCAAGGACGCGCTTACCATTTTTCCTTCAACTGCCCAATTTAATTAACTCAGTACATTTATATGATGATCACATGTTCAATAAATGCTATCTTATTGAATTGCATTGATTATCTCTTATATCCATGTCCTTTTTTTATTAGTTGGCCACACTTTTTATATTTAAAAAAATGGGAGTTGTTTAATGTACAATGACTTTTTATAGTTTGTAATTGATTAAAGTTATAAATAAGTACTTATTTTAAATGTAAGCCAGATAAAATATGTAAATTTTTTTTTTCTTTTTTAAGTTATTTTGAAGCTTAAGCGAACATGTTGTAGTGTTGATTTGATACATCTTTATAAGATGAATTACATATGATTTTATGGAGTACATTGTACCTGCATGAATTGTTGCCACGACCCATATTAACCTTCATGAAAAGAAGAAATGATAATTTAGACTCACGACTGGATATAAGAAAAATTTTACTTTGCATTTAGTTTGAGTGGAAAATATGGTGTAAATGATTGTACAAACGTAGTGAAGGTAGACGTTTTTGACTTATTTGATAAATTGAATTAGACAGCACTTAACAAAATTAAATAAGAAATAATATGATAAAAGTTTATTGTTGTTGCATTCAGTCGTGTTCAATCCTGCATTCCAAACATATTGAGAGAAACAAATGGAAAGAACAAAATTTTCATTTACTTTTTCCTCTTTCTCAAGGAAATCCAGGATTCAGATGTGGATTGATTAGAAAATTTGTTGGTTTCAAATTTCAGCTGGATTTTATTTGCCTGAATCTTGTATCCTCCCTTATATAAAGGGTATAAGAAAAATCTTTCTGAATTGCTTCATAAATCATGTATCCAAGCTAATATCTCAATTATTTGCTTAAACTCATTTTTCTTTTAATCAAAATCCATTAACATATAGGTGGGAGTTTTTAGGCCACTGCCTACCCTAGAGGGGTGTTAGATATTTGAATTTTTCCATTTGTACAAAAGCAGAAGCAGGGTTCTGTTCACAAAATCCTGCCAGAAAACTCACAATGACGTGGAACCCATCTAAATATAAAATATTCAAAAAATAACCCACCCCTCTATTGTAAGGTGTCGATAGGGATTTTGTGAACCATTATCTGTACAGTTAGCTTTGTCCTAGATTTTCTTATCCATGTTTATTGATAGTAAAAATTAGTACGAAGAGGGAAATTTTGTTTTCTTGAAATTGTATTGGACACTTCGTCGGCAAGAGGATGGGGCAAAATAATTGGTACATTAGATTCTCTTCTTTTACCATGTGGGCTGTAACGAGAATGAAGAATTTTCACCTAAATCAACAGTGTCCAATGGTCATCTATGCACACCGACACGTTACTCGGCGATACTGACTTGGTCCAATCGAACATTAAGTTTAGTAGTTGTAGTAGCTACCAAGCATTAAATTACAGTGTTAAATTCCTAGAAATCCACATGCCCACATTTGGTTAATCATCTGATTTGATTATTAGATCGACTATCGTTGACGTTATTTTGTTTGCTTGGACTCGACTTTGTTCGACTTCATTTTAATTCGAAAAGGAAATCTGTAATATATGATTCTTATTGATAACTAACTTAAGTCGAAATTTTGCGCTGAATTTTTTCTTAGTACGAGACGGTCCACACCATGATGTTAAGAACTCCGCATTACGTTCAATATAAATAACTTTTATTTTCAAATATATTTAATATATCTAGAAAATATTACTTCATATACCATTAATATTACTCGTTTACTTTCAAGTTTGAGAACTTCGTATAGCCCTATTTTGGCTTTATTTTAATTTTAATGTGTTTTTCTATTTCTTCTTTTAAGCTGCACATTCTTTAATAAAAAAATATCGTGAGTAAGTTCAAACCTTTTCCTTCTTTCCTTTTTAACCATACATTCTTCAGAAAAAATCATCATTCTAATATATATATATATATATTCCCC